GACTACATCCTGAACATCATCAGAAGCCCATTGGGTTATACCAGGCCCGTTCAAAGAAGATCGTACGTTCTACCTTGGTCTCTTGACTGGTGAATCGATATATGCACAATCAGATGACGCTCTCACGGAAGAAGATATCACTGCTCACTGGGACAAGGTCGAGGCAGCTGACAGGGCCGAAGCTAGATCGTTTATCGACAACCAGTGTTTTCGTGCGACTCACCAGAACAGCCTGGACACCAACAATACGATCGAAGCTACATGGGTCAGACGCTGGAAGAAAGTCTACAATGACAAGAACGAACACTCTTGGATCATTAAATCTCGCCTCTGTGGCAGGGGCTTTCTTGATGCACGGAAGAACGACGCGAGGGGACAATATTCGACGGCCTCCCGGCCCTCTCAAAGGATTATCGCTTCGTTGTTCTCACTGGAAAAATCTGATCCTGGAGACGTGGGATATCTCAACGGCGTTCCTGCAAGGCCTATCCTACGAGACTTTGCGTCGGAATGCTAAATAAATGGGCATCGAAATCAGAGAGCAGCGGAAAGTGTATCTCAAGCCGCCGGCTAACGTCTGGCTTGTTTTAGGGGCTATCCCAAGTCGAACATCAGAAATCCAGAAGTTGAGGTACCATTCTTCCTGTTGCAGCTCTTGAAGCCCATCAACGGCACTGTGGTCGCTCCACTGCAATGACACTTGGCATTATCATTATTCGTGCTGGAAGATCTTTCTGGCATCCAGTCGGTATTCGACGATAATTTCTTCATGTGGATCAAGGGAGGCAACATCATGATGGTTTGGACTGTGCACGTGGACGACATCATAGTTCTGGCGAGGATAGCTTATCTATGCTGGAGCTTGGCTGAGATGGAGAACGTTTGGGAAAGATGAAACGTCATCAGCTGCCATTCACTCACATGGGTATGAGCTACGATCAATTCAGGCCCAGGCACTTGTTCATCCACCAGGAGAGCTTCACGGACTCATCGAAGAAGATCTTCATTGAGCCGGCGCGGACAAGATTGAGAAGGAGTGCAACCACAAGCAGCAGCATGACTTCAGGAGCGCGCTTTGCAGTTTGTTGTGGTTATGTCAGACAGGCGAGGACATCTACTGTGAGGTAGTACAGTTGCAGCAGCAAGTGCGTGAGGCCAAACATCGGTCATCTGAAGCAGGCGAACCTCCTGATCGATCGAGCTCAGCGGAACAAGAAGATGGCGGGACTCCACTTTGCACCGCTCACTTATCCGGTACGGTTGGTTTCAGTTGGCAATGCAAGCCATGACGGTACCAAGACATCTTACCCTCAAGAGGGCACGGCAGTGTGTTTGATGGAAAGTCACATGCATGAGATTCGAGTCAAGAAAGATCAGGTTCATCCAGATGACGCTCACATTATCTCTGGCCTCGGGTAAGGCAAAGCGGAAATCACACTCGACGTGTCATGCAGAGACGAACGCGGGCTACAAGGTCAACCAGAGTGCTCAATTCATCGCCCTCAGACTCACAGAGATCATCACATGTACGGACGTTCAGCACAAGGCAGTGGACATGATGGAGATATTCGATCGAAACTTGTATCAAATTCGAGTTGATCACTGCCCTTGTTGTATGGACTTCTGGCAACTGTGCTGTGGAGTCACAGGCGTACCGAGTGACAAAGGGTCCCGACTAGCAGTGTCATCTATGGGTGAGGAACGATTGTCAGGGCGCATCTGGCACTTTCTTCACCTCCCAACGGAAATTGTGCTGCTCGACGGGCTCACTAAGTGCGGCATCTTCAAGCTACGCATGACACATATGACGACTGGTGTTTGGAAGAGTGCAGTTCCCAAGAACAAGTATGTTACCATGCGGACCATCATCGAGCCTCAAACCAGCTTCGACGAGACAGACCTATTGGACTTGAAGAACGACCTATTTCGTCTCGACATATGCTGGAACACTACACCATGGTCGGGTCTACGACCAGAACGCGTGTGTCGGCTTGATCTACGCGATGGTTTACTACGCGAAGGCTTGATCCCTTCGTTCGCCCCTTTCCTTAGACCAGAGCAATATCTGTTTCTATCGCTTAGAGGCTGTATGTTTAAGCATGCGAATGAATTTGAGTTTTCCAATGTTTATCGAGCTTGTAAATCACCCTCGATTTGAAGAGTTGAAAGTTGTTGATCTTCAACTCGGGACAATGGAGCCGGAGCTAGAATTTCAGGTATTTAGGCTTGGCTTTTGAGCTCGAGTAGATCGGTGTTGAGCTTCACAGACAGACAGACATGTATGATACCCGTATTCGCATCGGGGCTCAAGGAGAAACATCTCTCTTATCTCCGCTGGGGGGGGGGAACTTCGACCTTGAATTCGCGACACATCACCAACACCTCGGAGATAGGCCCCAACTGGCGGATCTGCAAGGTCCTGGGCGAAGGAGGGCCTATCGGGCCCCTGCCGCCGATGAGTGGGCGATGAGAGGTCGATGCGTCCCCCCCTGAGCAAATCCCCCCTGACATCCCCCCCTGGTTCTCGGGTCATACCTTGGCTCTCCGGCGGCCGTTCGGGACGATTCGCGCACCCCCGGCACGCTCTCGACGAGGCGCCGCTGACAAGAACCACCCCAGGCATCGAAAACGCTCGAAAACCTACGACAACCTCTCGAAAACGTTGCCCACGAAAGCCTCCCTGGACAGATCCCCCCTCCCTCCCCTCGTCGTCGTCTCCGCCAGGCGCGCCCCTCCTGCGGCGGCGATCTGCGCGGGCTCAGAACCCCCGGGGTGGGGGCGGCCAGGGGGGCGGCCAGCGACAGAACGTCGCAGGAGCCACAGTTTTGATAGTTCTTTCGGCCTCCCCGCCCCTGGCGCGCTCCGAGCGCCTGGGGGGGGGGGTCCAGCGCCGATCCAAGAAATCCACGCGGCCCCCCCAAAAGGTATGTATATGTGCAATGTGTTCGTTGGTCGAGTCGCACCGCGTCCCCCCCCGCAGGAAGGCCCCCTAGGAAAGACAGTCGTCAAACCCAGGCCCCACACTTGAGATGAGGACGAGACGGACAAGGTAAGCGCGGGGGTCGCGCACGCTCCGCAAGGGAGCCCAGACATGGCGTGGAGGCAGTAGCATCAGCAAAGCAAGTACGAGTTTAGCCGGCTGGAAGTAAGGCGGAAGAGAACAGACTGTAGCGCAGTGCACTGCGCATCATGCTTCAGCGCACCGCACTGCACTCTTTACAGAAGGGTGTCCTGACGCTTGACTCGTGTCCACACGCACATCTCGCCCCATCGAGCCACCCCCGTTTCGGGCTCACGGAGCGCCGACCGGGACGTATGGGAGGTTTTTCTGCAGCTCTAGCCGAGCCCTGGCACCTGACGTGAAGACCTAGTCTAGTGGCCAACAAGCTGAGACGAAATTCGGGAGCCCCAGAAAGACGTACTCGCAGAACCACATACGCGAATATGCCCCCCCAACTCGCGAGGCCGCCTTCATGTCACGCACGCTCGCCTATGCAATGCGCTCTCTCCAAACGCATGTGCATTCATGTACGCGTACGTCTTGACGTCCACTCCGGAAGACAGACCCCCTGCCCAGGTCTCAGATCTGCGCAAGGCGTACGTCTCACCTTGTCGGCGTCCTTCTCCCCATTCCGCGGAACGCGGACCCGATGTTCCACCCCCGATCACCCCGGATCACTTCATGGCGGTCCTGGAGCCCGCAGACGGCCCCTGGGAGGCCGAAAATCTGGAAAAGCACCGCCTTGATTTGTCAAGACGCTGGAAGTTTGGGACCTCCCCCACAAAATCGGCCCCCCAGAACTCTCCAGGAGCAAGTGCCGGGTACTGGCCAGAACTTCGAGGGGAGACGCAGCCTGCGCCAGCGAGGCGCCCCCCGGAGGCCAGAGGAGACGAGGACGAGAAGCGCCCAGCGACTTTAGCCACGGGGAGCGCTCTTGGCCGACCAGCGCTCCCCCACGACAGAGGCCTGGCGCTGCCCCCGCTGGCCGCCCCCCCAGGGAGGACAGCGGGCGAAGAACGGCACAAAGCACGCTCTTCCACCGCCGGGGACGCCCCTGCCTCGGGACGGCTGGAAAGTCGATACGCGGGCGTGCCGCCGTGGGGCATGAAACTCCGCAGCCGCCCTGGGGACAGGCGCCCGTGGAGATCGCCCAGATGGGGCCGGGACAGATAATGTGGGTGGGGGGATCGCGCCGCACACATCGGCGAGCTCAATGGCGATGCCGGGGTGCGACGCGGCGAGACCCTGCGACCCCATCTGCTCGGACTCCATTTGAACGGTCTGGAGCCCTTGAGAGCGGCAAATGTATGCTGTACCGCTTCTTCGCCCGCCAAGAGGAAGGGGAGGGATCGAGCGGCTGCTACGCGCCCCGTCTGGAAGATGGCGGCGTGCGCGGGCGGGCAAAAGCGGCCAGAAAATCGGACCGGGAAGACGCCTCGGCTCGGCACTAGCGCAGGAGAATAGACGATGCAAGTCCATGCGAGCAACGCCACAAGGGCTACGAGAAGATCTCATTGCGGATCTCACCTGTTCGTCGGACTCCGAAAAGGTGGCGCGATACTCGTGAACTCGCGGCGAAAATTCGAGAGGGCCAGACGTGGGGGAAGAAGAGGAAGGTTCGGGGAGTGAAGGAGGAGACGGGCGAGGAGTCAGGGACGCGCGGCGCTGCAGATTCGAAACAATGGCCCAACGCACAGGAACTTGAAAATACATATGCTGAAACAATGAGTGAGGCGGAATGGAGACGGCAGAGGAATGCGATGCTGCATGCATAGAAGGAAGACTCAACGCACAGGAAAGTCGGGAGATACGCTGATCGAAATTGTAGTATTGCAACGTATTTTGTCAGGAAGTACTCGTGCTATGCAAATCGCTAGCAACCAAAGAATTGTTTTCCGATTGGGAACATCAATAGGCAAACAAGCAAAGTTCCATGGTTTTGATCCTTCGGGGGGCATTACAATCACAAGCCCCTCGTGATTATTTCGCAGGGAGTGGAGGCGGGTGGCGGCCCTGCGAACGACGTCGTGGTCGCCGCCGTCGCGCGAGCTCGCGCGCGCGTCGCGCTTCTGCCGCGCCCCCGCGCTTCGCCCCCCGAGAGGCGCGGCGTCGGCGCCCGGCCCTTGCAGGGGAGGGGGCGCCGCCGCCCCGTGGGTCAGCGGCGCGGCGGGACACAGGAGAGGGAGGGGGGGCCAGGATTGAGGCCTCCTCCTCCTTCTCCTTCTCCCCCTCGTCTCCTCGTCTCCTCCTCCTCCTCCTCCTCCTCCTCCTCCTCCTCCTCCTCATCATCAACAGCAGCAGCAGCAGCATCATCCGCATCATCATCAGCATCAGGAGCATCAGCAGCATCACCATCATCATCATCATCATCATCATCATCATCATCATCATCATCATCATCATCAGCATCATCAGCAGCAGCAGCATCAGCATCGGCATCATCCTCCTCCTCATTATCATCATCATCCTCCTGCCCTAGAGATTCAGTCGTCGCATTTTTGTTTTACACTGGGCGTGCTCACAAGGTTTCGGGCCCGGGAACCCTCATAGATCGATCTGGCTCGAAACATGCACTGGCAAAACAGAAGTTCTACGGCCCTGGTTGCTATTTTCCCTGATGTTGCCGTTTCCCACAACGTCGGATCTGAGACAGGAGGGGGGAACCAGGGTCCAGACAGGAGAGGGGGGGAGGGGGGAGAGGGGGGAGCACAGGACGTGGGAGGTCGAGCAGGGAGTCTGGCTCATCACTAGTGGTATGTCTCGACTCTGCAAGCTCTAGCTCCCAGCTGCTGATAAAGTTAGGAGTAAAGTACGGGCCAGGCTCTCGAGGCTCGAGCTCGTTCCCGATGCGCTCTGCCGTCATATGTTACGTATGGGACGCGCTGGAAAGAAGTTTCAATCTTCGAGGTGTGGAGAGTCAGGCACCAGTGTTGGAATTTGCTTTTTGGGGTGTCGGGGCATCCCACGAGTAGCAAGGGCGGCCCATTCCAGCCACGTGGCCTGGGGTGCGAGGTGTGGCGATCCCAGTATCCGGCCAACTCCTGCCTCGGGGATATCTCGTAACAAGGACGCCAAACGAGGCCTAGGCAAACTCCGCGATGGCGTCGACCCGACAACCAAATCCTTCTTTGGACCAAGTCTACCACTGTCGAGGCTTCCCGCCGCCCTATCCAGTGGACCGGGGCGCTGATGGTGGAGAGGGGCCACACTAAGTTTGGCAGTGAGAGTGACCTCAGACAAGAGTGACCGTCAGAGCGCAGATTTGGAGGGGCGCCAGGGGGCCAAACCCACGTGCACAGGCCGCTGCTATCGCATCGCATTCGACGATGGGGGGGCCCAGTGGGTCCGCACCAAAGGTCATTCTGGCGAAAGGTCACTCGCAGGCGGGGCCAGCCGTCTGATCGCAGAAGGATCGCAGAAGGAGAGGGGGGAGCAGAGGGGAACTCGGATCACAGGAGAGCAGGCCGAGCTGCCGTCTGCCCGGCGCCGCGGCCGCCAATCGCTCGCTCAGATCTTCAGGGAGATGCCCTTCTGGGTCGGCTTGTTGTTCAGGTTGTACAGCGCCACCTCCGTCCGATCGGGCACCGCGCACCGCGTGCGAAGGCAAGCAAAGACCCGATCCGACGACGACGACGACGACGACGACCAGCAACGGCGACGACGACGACGACGACGACGCTCTCGTCGTCACCGTCGTCGTCGCCATTGTCGTGGTCGTCGTCCACGTCCTCCGTCGTCTCCCACCTCCTCCTCCCCGTCGTCGTCATTCGAGATCGTCGCCGACCGTCCTCGTCATCGGCCTCCTCCACCTCGAGGGCGTCGACGTCGCCGCCCTCCTCTTCGCCCTCCTCCATTCAGTATCGTTAGAGCTGTCCCATCCTCAGTGCGTCAGGGCTCCTTCGCGCCAACCGCCTGCCGCCTTCAGGTTGTGATAAGGGCCCCAGAACCCAACGGTAACGGCAGCTGCCCCACCCTGGGAGGTCGGACGGCCAGCGGTGATAAGGTCTACCCGATGGGGATGGGAGCTGGTCTATCGATGCAGACCCTCCTCGTCCGTCGTTGTCGCCGTCGTCCCTGCATCTTATCGCCGCTATTGACGGCGGAGGGGTAGCGGCAGCGGTAGCGGCAAATGCCTTCTCTGAGACGCCTCGAAAGCAGCAGGTCCCCGGGAGGTCTCTGGAGGCTCCCGAGGCCTCGAGGGGCCTTCCTCGGAAGAGGGCCGGTCGAGACAATGGCGGCCCTCCCTGGCGTTCTTCGTCCTTTTCGTTCTTGGGCCTCCCGGGGGATTCTCGTCGCCACGGCTGGATCCGCTGCAAAAACGGGTCAGGATGGACCCCGAGTGGGGTCCGGGAACCGAGTCTGAACGGATTGGGGCCAGACGGGAATCGCCGTTGTCCAACTGGCCATCCTCCAGAGGAGAAAAGCAAAACAACAAGTTGTGTTGGTCTGACTGTCACTACCAAAGAGATGATGCGGAAGAGTTCAAAGCCTGTCTGTGTTGGATGAATGCACGTGTGTGTGTGACGTTTGGGTGTGATGTTGAGGACTGCTACGTTTGTATGCTGCTTGCTCGAGCTGCTCATTTGTGTTGCATGTGCACACTGTCTACAGATGCATTGACATCAATGTTGCGTGCCACGCTCTGAATGTTTTTTTAATGCACGTCCGTTATGTATATCTACCCTCCCGTGTGTGAGTGTTATAATGTATTCATATTGCACGCCGATGGTGCGTGTATACAAGTAGGCATACATACATACGAACATGCATACATGCATATATTTATATATACATACATACATACATACATACATACATACATACCTGCCGACCTACCTACCTACCTACCTACCTACAGACAGACAGACAGACAGACAGACAGACATGCATACATATACACCTATACATACATGCGTGCACGCATACATAAATGCATACGTATTGCCATACAGACAGGCATACGTACATTTACAACTACATGCATGCATTCATGCATGCATAACCGCATACACACATACATACATGCATGCATGCGTGCATACATGCATAAATACATACACACACACACACTGGCATGCATACAAACATACATGCATACATTCTTACACGCATACCTTCACACATACATGCATACGTAGATGCATGCACACCTACATGTATACGTACATACGTACGTACGTACGTACGTGCACACGTATATCCCTACATGCAAGCACGCACACACACACAACATATGTACGTACATGCATACATGCATGCATACATACATGCGCACATGCAAGCGCACATGCATGCAAACAAACATATATATATATACATATATATGTACACCCGTACAGACAGACAGACAGACAGACAGACATGCATGCATGCATGCATACATGCATACATACATGCATGCACGCATGACTGTATGCATGCATCCAGACATACATACAGACAGACAGAGAGACAGTCATACATACAGACATGTGTGCATGCATACATGCATACATACCTGCCGACCGACCTACCTAGCGACCTACCTACCAGATATACAGGCAGACAGACAGACAGATAGACAGCCATAACTACATACATACATACATACGTATCTACCTACATGCGTACTTACCTACCCACCTACCTCCATACATACATACATACATACATACATACAAACATACATACATACATATATCCATGATGCATATCTACCTACCTACCTATCAGTCTACCTACCTACCTGCGCACATACATACACACATACATACGTACATACATACACATACGCACATGCACATATCCGTACATACAGGCACGCAGGCAGACAGACAGACATACAGACAGGACGGCAGACAGACAGACCGACAAGCATGCATACATCAGAGTGAGGGGGCCGAACGGTCATTCATTGTCCCTGGGTGCGTGGCTGACATGAGAATGCGTGGTACGGATGGTGGTTGTTGCTTTGTTGTTGTTGCTGTTGACGTTGGTTTTGTTATTGTTGTTTGTTGTCGTCGTCCCTGGCGACCCACCCGCGACCCACCCGGCGACCCATCCCGCGACCCATCCCGCGACCCACCCCGCGACCCACCCGCGATCCACCCGCGACCCACCCCGCGACCCACCCGCGACCAACCCCGCGACCCACCCCGCGACCCACCCAGCCACCCACCCGCGGCCCACCCGCGACCCACCCGCAACCGATCCAAATTGGTTTGAGACAGAAATCGGCGCCTGCGGCGGGCTCGTTGTCAAAGTGAATGGGGCGAACGGTCATTCATTGTCCAAGGGTGCGAAGCTGAAGTGAGAATCCGTGGTGGGGATTATATGTGTTGCGGTGTTGGTGTTGTTGTTATTGTTTCTGTTGTTGTTGTTGCTGCTGTTGGTGTTGGCGTTGTTGTTGGTGCTGGTATTGTTGTTGTTGCTGTTGTTGACGGTGGTGTTATTGCTGGTGGTGTTGTTGGTGTTGGTGTTGGTGTTGTTGTTGATGTTGCTGCTGTTGTTGGTGGTGGTGGTGTTGGTGTTGGTGGTGCTGGCGTTGTTGTTGGAGCTGGTGTTGTTGAGCTCTCACTTCTGAAGAATAATTAATGTTGATCCTCCCACCAGTGCATACTGTTTTTTCACAATCAAAGTGTGCCCCTCGACGTTCGCACTTTGTTTTTGCTCAAAGAAAGTCTTGAAGCTCAAACTGGGCCCCTGGTCCCCGGGTCACAACAACAACGGTTCCCGCCTGAGACTTCCTCGCATTTTATTCAGGAATCGCGCTCTCGCTTGGGACTTCCTTACAATTTATTCAGGGATCGCTCCCCCGGCGCTCTGGAGTCGCGTTCTCGCTGGAGATTTGCTTGCAGTTCACTAAAGAATATCGCCCTTGCGCACCCGACACCCAGGCACCCAGGAGCAGCGTTCACGCTTAGGATCCCTTCGCAGATTACCTAGGAATCGGGATTACGCTGCCCTGTGTGGCCCCGTTGCAGCCCTTCGTGGCCCCTCTCGATTGTTTCGCGGCCCCGTTGCACCAGTTCGTGGCCCCCTCGCTGCCCTTCGTGGCCCCGTTGCAGCCCCTTGTGGCCTCCTCGCTGCCTCTCGTGGCCTCGTTGCAGCCCTTCGTGGCCCCTCGCTTTGTTTCGTGGCCCCGTTGCAACCCTTCGTGGCCCCATCGCTGCCCTTCGTGGCCCCTTCGCAGCCCTTCGTGGCACGGTTGCAGCCCTTCGTGGCCCCCTCGCTGCCCTTCGTGGCCCCGTTGCATACTTTCGTGGCCCCCTTCGGTGCCCTTCGTGGCCCCATATATGTACGCCCTTCGTGGCCCCCGCTCGTTCGCGCCCGTTGTGGCCCCATATGCATGCCCTTCGTGGCCCCAGTGTCGCCCTTCGTGGCCCCCTCGCTGCCCTTCGTGCCCCCGTTGCTGCCCTCAGTGGCCCCGTCCTTGCCCTCCGCGGCCCAATATACGTATGCCCTTCGTGGCCCCCGCTCATTCGCCATTTTTGTGGCCCCATGTGCATGCCTTTCGTGGCCCCGCTGTCGCCGTTTGTGGCCCCCTCACTGTCCTACGTGGCCCAGTTGCTACCCTCAGTGGCCCCATCGTTGCCTTCTGTGGCCCCGCATTATCTGCCCTTCGTGGCCCCCGCTCGTGCGCGCTCTTCGTGGCCCCATACGTATTCCCTTCGTGTCCCCGCTGTCGCCCTTCGTGGCCTACTTCGTGTCTTTGTGGCCCTGCTATCATTCTCTCTCGCTCTCGCTTTCGCTCGTCGTCGTCGTCGCCGTCGTCGTCGTCGCCGTCGTCGTCGACGCCGTCGTCGTCGTCGTGGTCGGTCCCCTGTCCGTCCCTCTTGGGGTCGGGTAGACGGTCCGCGGCCGCCGCCGATCAGCGCTGCCGCTGGCCAGGCCGACGGTCCGCGGCCGCCCCGCCGCTTGCCGGGGCCAGGCCTGAAGGGAAGAAAGGTGTATCCCCAAAAGGGGTTCGATCGAAGACGAAGAGGGCGGGTATCGACGGTTTGGGAAATAAGCGTTATTGGACACTCGAGCAGATAAGGGCGAAATATCTTAAAATGATTGTTGTTGTTGGTGGTGTTGTTGATGGTGTTACTGTTGTGTGTTGTCGTCGTCGTCGTCGCCCCCCCCGCGACCCATCCCGCGACCCACCCCGCGACACACCCCGCGCCACACCCCGCGACCCAACCCGCCACCCACCCGCGACCCACCCGCGACCCATCCCGCGACCCACCCGCGACCCAACCCGCGACCCACCCGCGACCCACCCCGCCAACCACCCGCGACCCACCCGCGAACCATCCGCGACCCAACCCGCGACACACCCGCGACCCACCCGCGACCCACCCCGCCACCCACCCGCGACCCACCCGCGAACCACCCGCGACCCAACCCGCGACCCACCCCGCGACCCACCCCGCCACCCACCCGCGACCCACCCCGCCACCCACCCGCGACCCACCCCGCGACCCACCCGCGACCCACCCGCGACCCACCCGCGATCGATCCACAGTGGCTTGAATGCAGAATTCGGCGCCTGCGGCGGGCTCGTCGTATAATTTGTGAAACGTTGGCGCCTGCGGCGGGCTTCT